CGGGATATGGGGGGTGATAGAGCCAGCTATATACAGCGGGATATGGGGGGTGATAGAGCCAGCTATATACAGCGGGATATGGGGGGTGATAGAGCCAGCTATATACAGCGGGATATGGGGGGTGATAGAGCCAGCTATATACAGCGGGATATGGGGGGTGATAGAGCCAGCTATATACAGCGGGATATGGGGGGTGATAGAGCCAGCTATATACAGCGGGATATGGGGGGTGATAGAGCCAGCTATATACAGCGGGATATGGGGGGTGATAGAGCCAGCTATATACAGCGGGATATGGGGGGTGATAGAGCCAGCTATATACAGCGGGATATGGGGGGTGATAGAGCCAGCTATATACAGCGGGATATGGGGGGTGATAGAGCCAGCTATATACAGCGGGATATGGGGGGTGATAGAGCCAGCTATATACAGCGGGATATGGGGGGTGATAGAGCCAGCTATATACAGCGGGATATGGGGGGTGATAGAGCCAGCTATATACAGCGGGATATGGGGGGTGATAGAGCCAGCTATATACAGCGGGATATGGGGGGTGATAGAGCCAGCTATATACAGCGGGATATGGGGGGTGATAGAGCCAGCTATATACAGCGGGATATGGGGGGTGATAGAGCCAGCTATATACAGCGGGATATGGGGGGTGATAGAGCCAGCTATATACAGCGGGATATGGGGGGTGATAGAGCCAGCTATATACAGCGGGATATGGGGGGTGATAGAGCCAGCTATATACAGCGGGATATGGGGGGTGATAGAGCCAGCTATATACAGCGGGATATGGGGGGTGATAGAGCCAGCTATATACAGCGGGATATGGGGGGTGATAGAGCCAGCTATATACAGCGGGATATGGGGGGTGATAGAGCCAGCTATATACAGCGGGATATGGGGGGTGATAGAGCCAGCTATATACAGCGGGATATGGGGGGTGATAGAGCCAGCTATATACAGCGGGATATGGGGGGTGATAGAGCCAGCTATATACAGCGGGATATGGGGGGTGATAGAGCCAGCTATATACAGCGGGATATGGGGGGTGATAGAGCCAGCTATATACAGCGGGATATGGGGGGTGATAGAGCCAGCTATATACAGCGGGATATGGGGGGTGATAGAGCCAGCTATATACAGCGGGATATGGGGGGTGATAGAGCCAGCTATATACAGCGGGATATGGGGGGTGATAGAGCCAGCTATATACAGCGGGATATGGGGGGTGATAGAGCCAGCTATATACAGCGGGATATGGGGGGTGATAGAGCCAGCTATATACAGCGGGATATGGGGGGTGATAGAGCCAGCTATATACAGCGGGATATGGGGGGTGATAGAGCCAGCTATATACAGCGGGATATGGGGGGTGATAGAGCCAGCTATATACAGCGGGATATGGGGGGTGATAGAGCCAGCTATATACAGCGGGATATGGGGGGTGATAGAGCCAGCTATATACAGCGGGATATGGGGGGTGATAGAGCCAGCTATATACAGCGGGATATGGGGGGTGATAGAGCCAGCTATATACAGCGGGATATGGGGGGTGATAGAGCCAGCTATATACAGCGGGATATGGGGGGTGATAGAGCCAGCTATATACAGCGGGATATGGGGGGTGATAGAGCCAGCTATATACAGCGGGATATGGGGGGTGATAGAGCCAGCTATATACAGCGGGATATGGGGGGTGATAGAGCCAGCTATATACAGCGGGATATGGGGGGTGATAGAGCCAGCTATATACAGCGGGATATGGGGGGTGATAGAGCCAGCTATATACAGCGGGATATGGGGGGTGATAGAGCCAGCTATATACAGCGGGATATGGGGGGTGATAGAGCCAGCTATATACAGCGGGATATGGGGGGTGATAGAGCCAGCTATATACAGCGGGATATGGGGGGTGATAGAGCCAGCTATATACAGCGGGATATGGGGGGTGATAGAGCCAGCTATATACAGCGGGATATGGGGGGTGATAGAGCCAGCTATATACAGCGGGATATGGGGGGTGATAGAGCCAGCTATATACAGCGGGATATGGGGGGTGATAGAGCCAGCTATATACAGCGGGATATGGGGGGTGATAGAGCCAGCTATATACAGCGGGATATGGGGGGTGATAGAGCCAGCTATATACAGCGGGATATGGGGGGTGATAGAGCCAGCTATATACAGCGGGATATGGGGGGTGATAGAGCCAGCTATATACAGCGGGATATGGGGGGTGATAGAGCCAGCTATATACAGCGGGATATGGGGGGTGATAGAGCCAGCTATATACAGCGGGATATGGGGGGTGATAGAGCCAGCTATATACAGCGGGATATGGGGGGGTGATAGAGCCAGGTATATATACAGCGGGGGGTTTAATAACACTCTACATGAAGGGGGAACATGATACAGAGCGCGGCGCCATTCTCCGGGTTCGGGAAGGAAGTTTATCTGCACGTTGGCAGTATTAGGTCTCCATCATAATAACCGGTGACACTAAACCTGACCTCCCCCCTCCCCTCCCCCATAATAATGATGAATGTCAGCCAGTCATAGGAGTACCGGCGCTTGTTGGGTGCGGGTTGCAGTGCCGGAGATACAATCTGGTTGGTCGTTGTGGAGGGATAAATATTTTCCATGACAAGCTGAGCTCTGAGCAGGCTGCGACGTCTCATATGACTCCCTGAGGACAGAGTACCCCCCTTCCCACCCCACCCCCGACTCCCGTACACAGATCAGATATCTGCTGCCTGAGGGGTCCGGGGTCTCCAGCAATTTGTCGGCTCCGGCACCTCATAGACACAGAGATTGAACGGATTATATTTCCGGGAGAGAAGACTCGTCACCCCGGTGACAACGCTGAACTGTCACTTCCTGGAGGAGGGGCCCCGGGGACACCTTGTGTAGGGATTGTTCTGTTCCAGATGCAGATGATAGAAGACACAACAAATGATTCCCCCCATTGTGTGTGTGATGGAGGAGGGAACTCCCGACACGTTCCTCCGTCTCTGCCGCAACGATTGTCCTGGTGAAAACTAGAGCTGTACCCATACCCGGCCAATCAGCATGGAGCCGGCTTCCCGACCAATTAGCATGGAGCCGGCTTCCCGACCAATCAGCATGGAGCCGGCTTCCCGACCAATCAGGAAGCTGGGGCGGCGGATAATGACATGCCGCATGGCTCCCTGGTTGTCCGGTAAGCCGGCTCCATGTTCCCCTACGGCACTGCCGGTCACAGGAAATCTCCCTCTGCCCGGAGGCCCTGGTATCGGTGGAGGTATCGGGGAAGCTATCGGTGGAGGTATCGGGGAAGGTATCGGGGGGAAGGTATTGGGGGGAAGGTATCGGGGAAGGTATCAGTGTATTCTCAGTGAAAACTATTCAGAGATACAAAGTGTTACAGTTGTCACCAGAACAGGAAGAGAGGAAATCCTCCGATGTGTAGAACAGACAACGTGGCGGAGTGCTCGTTCTTGATTGGCGCATATTGTCACATAGAAGCAACATTTGGGGTCCCCTCCTCAGGCGCCCCAATAACGGACGAACACCCCACCACATTCTGTACCACGCCTGATGCCGGCGGTGCCACTGCAGCTCCCACCTTCAGGGTCCCTCGGTAAGGAGTGCGGCCCAAGATCCTGAGGTCTTCCGATGGGGACACCAGTTCTAGTGACAACTGTCTCACTATGGGGGATTTCCTCTCACTTCCTGTTGTGTCTTATGGACAGGAAGTGAAGAGAAATCTCCCTGATGGGACACAGACAATCCAATCTCCGTGTTCTATCTCTCCTTATTATTTATACAAATCTGAAAAGATTCCCCTCCAGATTCACCTCGTATTCCCTCCAGATTCACCTTGTATTCCCTCCAGATTCACCTCGTATTCCCCTCCAGATTCACCTCGTATTCCCTCCAGATTCACCTCGTATTCCCCTCCAGATTCACCTTGTATTCCCTCCAGATTCACCTCGTATTCCCCTCCAGATTCACCTCGTATTCCCTCCAGATTCACCT